TGTTAGGCCTTTTCTAAAAGACTACACAATTAAAATTGTCACAGTGAGAACATCTACAATCCCATCGCTCTAGCTCTTTGTCACAACTTTCACATCTCCAGCTTGGATCGGACAAGGCTTTAGAACTTACTTGATTTAACCAATAAATTACTTTATCCTGCTTTTGTAATGAAACCTGCAATTGTATCATTATAAGATAGATTGATAAGTAATTAGCTTTTGCCATAGCGGTGTTTAAACATTGATATGCAAGGTCATATTTATCTGAATTCATTGCAGATATAGCCAACATACAATGGCTAAAGTAGTAATCTGGATGCAAATTACACAACTGATCAGTATTTTTGCCATTTAAACTCATATAAAGCCTGGCTATTTGAGGACTTGGATTAATTTTATATTCTGCTTCTAGCACTTCAGAAGCTTTTCTTACTTTTGCAAGTTTAATATAAAGCTCAGCTTTTAAGTAATTGATAGGTCGAAAAGTTATGTGGCAACTTTGTGCTCTTAATACAGATTTGATAGCCTCTTTAAAATACCCCCCCTTTTCATATTCTCTTGCTAGAGCGCAATAAAAGGTAGCAAGCATTTTTTTGTGATTAAATGGAAGAAAAATATTGAGCCTAGTAGCTTCTTTTAATTTCATAATCGCATTATGCCAATCACTTTTTAGTATAAAATTTTCTATTTGGAAGGGTAAAGATAGCACTTTATTGTTGATATAACTAGAGCAATGCTCTATAAATTTTTGAAAGCCTATTTTATCTTTCTTAAGATACATAATGAGTTTGTGTGATAAAAGCAAAGCCAGGTTGCAATTCATATTTGCAATACTTGTTATACCATTACTAAAGAAACTATAGTTTCCTGTTTTTCCTGCATTGAAGACTTGAACTAGAAGCAGCTTATCATTGTCCTCATGCAAGCTTTTGGACAATTTTTCAATATTTTCTATGTCGCACAGGTCTATGCTAAAAAAAAATTCAAGAATAAGTAATTCTTTTTTATCCTTTCTTTTCTTTTTTATATCAATAAATATTGATGAAATGTAAGAAAAAAAGCTTACAAGAATAAGCAATAAAAATAACACAACTATACTAGCTACAATGATGAAGTATAGATCAATATTGATTGTATAATCAATGAATTCTAATTTTAATACTTCACCATTTATCTTAACCCAAATGCCAAACAAGAATGAGAGAATGAAAATTACGAAATAGATCATGATGTATACTGTAATAGGTGATCAAGTATTATTGAGATATTTTTATAAGCCAAAATAGAATTGTTCAATTTATTTATCCATGGCTTAAATTCCGACTGAGTTAAAGTACTTACTGTAGTCTCTATACTATGCCAATCACGCGAGGTAATTGCATTTTCAATTTTTATCCACTTTACCCTCAATGGATCATTTTTATTTTTTATCTTTATCCAATTTGAGGTGATTTTCTTAAATAATGTACTATTGCTATAATTAGTAGCATCAACAGCTTTTTCAAATGATAATTTCAACTCATATATAGTATTTATTTCTTTTATGCCCTCAAGTCTATTCACTGCATTTTCTATATCCCGATCATTTAAATCTAAAACCAAAGTTTGTATTGCAGGAATTTGGTTGTCGAATTTTATTTCTTGGAGCAATGAATTATTCATCTTTATAACAGATAGCAGTAATTTTGCCAGATTCTTAAACCTAAGCTCGCAATCACCTATTTGATTAGGTGGAATATATAAACTCTTCTTAATATTGAATATTTTCTTTTCCAATCTGGACTGGTTATCATTAAGCAGAGCTTTAAGATTGCCCGTGATTTCTTTTGCATTATTCTCGCCTTCGTGCTTACTTCTCCTGAGAAAAATTATGTTGTTTATTGAAATATGAGTAATAATTAGCAAGATAATCAAGAACCAACTTATGTTGTTTTTTTGAATATCATTCATAACGCAATATTTCCGCAGGATCTTGTGAAGCTGCTTGCAATGCAGGAGCAATTGTAGCTAAAAATGATAAAA